TGAGGTAATAGTCACCTTTATAAGCTACTATACTATCGGCTACCATAGATAGTGCATCTTATGATTATACCAGTTGGGATTGTAATTTCTTGTATGTGATGTATTGTATGTAGGTTTATGATGCCTGGGAAGAGGTAGGGAGAAAAGTGAGCCTACTCTGTGAATGGCTAGGACATGATCTTCCTCACACTCTGTGGCCCATACTGGAGCTGGTATAAGCACTTCTGCTGGTTAGTAGCTCTAAAATTAATAGGGAAGCCAATGAAATTGAATTATAATTTTTTAAAACTGTGTCAAAAATCAAAACTTGGGGGTTGCTCATGAGCCCTTGAAAAAATTGAGAATAAAAAAAATTGTTAACACTTTGAGGTGCAAACAAGCTAGCTTGAGGTGTGAACAAGGTCAGGGAATTGTATACCGTAAGGGGAGTAATTTTTCTGGGTAAAATATTTCGTGTTTCTTAATAAAAGACTTAAATTTGAAAATTTTGTGGTGTTTAATTTTCGTGGTCAATAATTGGGGGTGTGTCTTCATGCGGTGGGTGTGGTCATATCTTACTTAGCAACACCTTAGTAACGAAGGCAGAAGTAGCATGTATCCTTGTAGGTTCTTTGTAGTTGCTCTAAACATCATTAGAACTTCATGAAGTACCATTTATAATTGCTAAAGGTGGAAGCTATTGTATTATTTTCAGCTTTACCTCCTTTTTAAGTACTCAAAGTAGTATCGGAGTTCATTTTTACTCGTGGCGCTTGCCAATTTCTCCTTGTCCTTTGCAAATGAAACTTCTCACGCAACTAAAACAACCTTTTTAGATCGTATATCTAAAGTTGTATGTTGAATGCAACTGAAGAAAGCAAGCGGCTCAGTGCTAAAGCAGCCTTACTCAATCTAGGAGTCCATGGGTGGTGCCGGTGTTTCAGCTAGCCTAGCAACGGCTTAGCAACCATAGCCTTGACTAGTCACAGTAGCGTTTCTGCTCGAAGTGTCTTCTCCAATGACTCCTGCATCTTTATTCTTTCAAATCCTACCTAATAGGTCCTACTTAACATGATAGAACTTTCTCTTTTGCTTCACCAAGTCCGTGTTGCTAAAAAAAGCGGTGCGTATCTTTACAACAGATGCTCCGTTGCTTTATGCTGCTTCATTGACTAGATACTTATTGTATCTAAGGACAAACATCCCACAATAGCTGCTAGCAAGTTTGAAGTCTCTTGGTACTAGATCTTTAGAGAAATGTGTTGCCAAAGTGGTACTACAAAAATTTATTTTTTACAAAAATTAATTTCGTACCAGGGGTGTAGTTTAGATCTAATATTAATAATAATTAACTAGGTATAAAATTTCGTGGATTTGAATTGTAACACAAAAATAACGAAAATTAAACCCCCACGAAAATTACCCCTCTTACGGTAGCTGGAAACTTTCAAAGCTAATAAATTTTGTCATTTTTGTCGTTTTGTTTGAGATTTGCAAAATTAAAATTTGTAAAATCTAAAAATTAGGTGTAATATAGCAAGGCTGCAAAAGTCATGGCAGCCATTTTGTTTGGGGGTGAATCCTACTTAGTAATGCTACCGCGTTACTAATAAGATGGCAGAATGCATTGTAAAAATTAAATCCACGGAAATGATTTTTGGGCAGATTTGCAAAAGTTTAATCCCTTGAAAGCTTCTAGCTATACGGTTTGTATAATAATGAAGTTGATTCTACATTAAATGTTTTTGTTTATATTGTCTCTAATAGGTTAAATGGTGGTCAGTTCTCTATTCCTTCCCATCTCTCATTGTCCATTACTCAGTTAATGAAT